CGAAATCGTAAAATTTTACGTATAACTTAATTTAAATAATTTAAAAAAAATTCCAACATAAAATATGTATAATATTTACAATATTCTTAACATAGTAATAATAATAATAATTCAATATTGATAAATTAGTCCTTGTGGCACCTGTGTGCACCTTTAATGCTGGCATTGCGTCGCTTGCGATATTTATTCATTGAGGGAGAAAAGCACCAGGTCTAGGTCCCCAGCAGTATCTACAAAGGGAAATAAATCAAAGTTGGAGGGATGACTCTATTCCTGACTAAAACTATTTCCTTAATGATTAATCTGTAAAGGAAGTAACTGATCGGCCTTTTGTGCATGACACATACTTCACTTATAAACTTCAGAGTCGAGACAGCAATATTCCCGAGTGTCAGATCAATTCCATGACATATTACGGAAGTCATATGTCAAAAATGTATAGAGTTTTTACATATAGACAAGCAGGGAAGTAACAAAATAATGGAGGCGCAATGAAAATTACCTATTATTTTTTACTTTTAGACTATCATTCTCATCACATTTTTCTTATATCTGAAGAGTTAAACATTGTTGGTATATATGTATGTCTACTCAGTTTTAAATTAGAAACCGAACTACTTGAGTGATAATGTTGTTTACGTTGTTGTTTACCCTTACATAGGTGGGGATGTAACAGTATGAAGAATCTACACTAATATAAAAAAACTTAATGTGATTAGCTGGAAAATTACTGGATCGATATGAAAACTTCTTTCACCATTAGAGTCCTACATTATCTCTGATCATCATAGGCTATAGAATATTTCCAGAAAAGTTAGCGATCTGTATGAAAACTTCAATAATGAAACCCAAGGTGTGAAAAATACAGTTTTACAGAAAAAATCAATATTTCAAAAACGTATATACCATAATATGTGTTTTTTTTTTTTTTTTTTTATAATGTTTCCAGATTATTCCCCGACTATATAGTCGTCGGAGGTGTTAAAAAGCTTACATAAATGTATTGGTAACCCGAATGTTTACTTTCTATTACTATATTACTACTCTACTACTACCTATTTCTTTTGACAACCCCCTGCATGACCCTCACGGCAAATCCCAAAAAGATGCCCCTCAACCTAACATTGAGCATTATTCCCTTCAAACTCGTCTCCGTTACCCTCATGCCCATAGCTTGCTCAGCGTTAAACCTGTCGTATCCATACATGGGACAGTCGGTCAGAACATGCAACACTGTCTTAATATGTGTTACTATTACGTATTTAATAATACCCAGCCGTGCCAAACCGGGACAGTACTACATAAGTGCCGATGCCATGCTTTTCAGTGGCTAATGCCCACAGGCATTGGTCAACTCAATAAAACAACTAATTTAATCTTATCATGATTGTATTAAAGGAATTCAAAATATGCAAAACTATGACCTATCGACGCGCGTGACATTGAGAGAGATTTATATGACTATAAAATAAAATTAATTCTTCACAGTGTGATAAATAGTCATCGGTATTTACGGATAAATTGCAGCAGTATTCGTATTTTAAATGTATTTTTTTATATTAATACTAGCTGATCCGGCAAACGTCGTTTTGCCATGTAATATCATTTATAATAAAAAATAGGTGTTGATCGTATAGGGGTGAAAATTAGGGGCTGTATGTATTTTTTAATGCTGTATCATTAAAAAATTAAAATTTATCTAAAAATAAAAATAAAATTATTTAGGGGTGGACTATTCTTAACATTTAGGGGGGATGAAAAAAAGATGTTGTCCGATTCTCAGACATACCCAATATGCACACAAAATTTCATGAGAATCGGTCGAGCCGTTTTGGAGGAGTTTAACCACAAACACCGCGACACGAGAATTTTATATATTAGATTTGATGACCATTCCATAAAAGAGCATAAAAGTTGCTTCAGCATGCGACCGCAGGATGTAGGTTCCCAGAGGTGCACCAAACTTCTGCCTATGCACTTTTAACACTCGCTCGTACGGTGAAGGAAAACATCGTAAGGAAATCGGGCCAAAGACTCAAAAAATCGATGGCGTGTGTCAAGCTAATAACATGCTTGCCTATTAGAAAAAACAAATGATAACGAAATAGGTACAATCTGAGTAGTACAATAGGTTGAAGTACTACATATCCCTTTATTTAAAGTATGATCTATCTCCTATGTTTTTAATATGTCCGGATATTATTATAATTCATCATTCATTCGCTAGAAATCAAACCTTGTACCTTCGGATTCGGACCAAACGCTTCTATTTAATCACATGAAATTGACGGTAGTATAAAAACAACAGTTTTAACCCCCCAATTAGCCACTGATATATTGCTGCTTGCGTTTCACAATGCTTTTTTTGTCCAAAAAGTAGTTTTCGACGAGATTCCACACCAGGAAACCCAGTTTTTAATTAATTATTTAAACCTGTTCGAGCAGCTGAGCTACGGATTTCGTGTTACGAAAATTAAAGCAGGGTCAAATCGAAACTCCAATAGTGGATGCTATCTTACTTATAACGCACCGAAAAAAGGGGGATAGAAATATTTTTCAATAATTCGCTGCAACGAGGAATACCAATACGAAATGATTGCGTGTGGAATGCAATGGTAATAAATATTTAAAAATATTTTTGACCTACATATGTAACAATCGCTAATATTCTAGAAGCTTCGTGTCAGTTGATATTATAAATTCTTACATATTATAAAATAAAATCCGTGAACAAAGAACGTTACTTTACGGACTTATTATATATTCATATATATAGTATATTATGAAATTTGACTAAAAAAGGTTTAAAGAAGGTTTTATGGAGAGAACAATTGGGACAATCTTTTTTAAAAAAATAGTTTTATTTAGTATTTAGGTTCCAGAAAAGCGAACAGTCTCTATGGAGAAGGACAGCAAAATGTTCCATATGTTGGAATGTTACTAAAAATATCCTTAATAAAAAATATCATATTAGGGCGAAACCAAGTCGTCATTTGACAGTCAGTCATTCGTAGTCATACCTAGCTAGTGATATCGTTTTTACTATTCATGTGATTTATGGTCCAATCTTAAGTTTTTAAACAGAAATCTAAAGACTGAATAAACAAAAGTCAATATATTTGATATTTCCACCTTACTTTAAGAAAGTTACTTTTGTATGCATCCATTAAAGCGCTGTAGTTTTCATTATAACAATACTCTTAAAGAACAGCGCCCGTACTCTGTAACATTATTGTGCTCAAGTTCGATACTTCTCTCCCTCTTCGCCCGGTACAAAAACTCATTATTAAAATCGGGATCCTACGGGCGCTGTTGAAAACAAAGGTGTAAGTACGCTTATCTTTAAACAATACTTTTAGAAACTTTGTTGAATTGCATTGTTTAATTTTAGAGTAATTTTCACAAAAGATAGTGCGACTTTACATGAATCTAGCCTATACAATAATTATGGCTAATAAGAAATTTTATGTTTTCTCAATTGTCTACAATACCTCTGAATAGCTTTAACTAAGGTAATGTTCATTAATAGTCTGAGTGTTCAGACTAGGTTTATTAACTCAAAGGGTTTAGTTCTCTTTAGGCGTCTTATTCCCGTTGTGTCAAGAAGTTGGAGTGCCTCAGCATACATGGCTATGTAGACCATTTAAGTGAGCTAAAAACCATTTTGCCGTATTTAGGATTGTATCCATATTAAGATCCTTGGATACTTTAATTTGTATATACCATGGTGGACTATATATGGCTGATATAACCGAAGGATATCGATTGGTTTTAATTACCCATTATATGTTAAAGAGTAAAAATGTAAATAACATTTAAATGTCAACCACATATTTTTATCAACAAACTTAGTCAAATGGACAACAAACCATATATATAGATGACTCATTTTTCTGTCACGCTTAAAGTTGTTATTGTAGACAAGAAATACGGGATTTAGATGAATAGTTTCAAACGGCGGTGTACGATGTGTATGCTTCACTCGCCTTGCTTGATATTTTAATAAATAAAAATCTTTGAAGTAATCTAGTATGCATGTCTCGTATCTACCTAATCGGTGTATTCATTGTACCATTGTTTATAGACAGAGCTATAAATAATACAAACTTAATTATATATATAGTATATGTGGACTCATAAGGTATAGGAAATATAATAGACATAGACCAAAGAAAGAGGTCACGTGTTAGTTTGTAACTACACAAGCATCTTATCAAAGAAGAAGAAAAACTAAAAAATTGTGGCTGCCTAGGCGTGGTTTGAAGGCAAGACATGTTGGTTGGTTCGTCTATCGGCCTCTTACCCTATTGTATAGTAATATATTGTTTTATAGAATAGGATGGAAACTAGCAGGAGACGCGCAAAAAGGTTCGCAAGTGTGTTGTTGGGCTTTAAATAATTGGCACGTTCGTTTCTTGATTGACTTTTATTTTTTTTACCAAGTGTTAGTATACTAGTTTTTAGTTAGTTAGTAGTTTAGTTAGTAACATCTCATAGTGATGAATATATAAACTTAAGATAAGTATTAGGAATTAAATTACAATATCACTAAAATCTGTCTTAGTTCGTTTGTACTGTCAACGAGTTTTGATCTTGAGATAGTAATAAGTTGAGTTTCCGCAATCGAACAGCTCGCTGAGTCTAATAAATTAATTATTTACTTCGAAATCTTAACCAAAACCGGAATATCAACTTTGAATCTTTAATGGAAGCTAATGCATATTTAAAATGAAATACACACGATTTTGTAAGGTTATATTCACCCATAGTGTGTTATTATAAAACTCTTATAAATAAGTACAACATAGATATGTTACAAATATTAATATGAAATATATCTCAGGAAAATACCGCATGAACGCTTAGCTGACGACGGACACACAGTTCTATTGTTTACAGCCGGTCATCCAACGCGTGCAATCTGTATTCAAGTTACGCTCCAGCCATTAAATACTACGCTAAACGCATTCCAACTACCCAACCACAGTACCATAAAAATATTATATACTAGAAGTAACCGGCCCTAAATCACTAATTTCGTTCTCGATATATGGAGTAGTATTCTGAGTAACTGCTTCAATGTTTGGCGTCGTCTGTTCTTCACTTTCTGCTTTAGCTTCATTCGCTACTAACAAAATTGAAGGGGTAGCACTATCGGAGAAAGTCTCCACGTTTTCAGTCGTTGTTAATTCCACTGTAATTTCTTTTGTTTCTAGCCTGGTAAACTCTGGATGTTCTTTAGTTATTTCAGGTACAACGACCGTAGTTATTTCAGGTGCACCGGTGGTAGTTATTTCAGGTGCAGCGATGGTAGTTACTTCAGGTACAGCGGTGGTAGTAATTACAGGTACAGCGGTGGTAGTAATTACAGGTACAGTGGTAGTAGTAATTACTGGAACAGCGGTGGTAGTTATTTCAGGTGCAGCGATGGTAGTTACTTCAGGTACAGCGGTGGTAGTAATTACAGGTACAGCGGTGGTAGTAATTACAGGTACAGCGGTTGTAGTAATTACAGGTACAGCGGTGGTAGTTATTTCAGGTACAGCGATGGTCGTAATTACAGGTACAGTGGTGGTAATTATAGTATCCACCAAAACGACTGGTGTAGTAGACACTTTTGTGATTTCTGTGACCTCCTCGTTATTTACAGTAGTAACCTGAATTTTATCGTCACTTCTATCTTTGTTTATGTAGTTATCGTTAGATTTCATAATAGGAACTATTTTATCATCATACACGACTTCTGTGTTCGAACCTTTGTTAGGCGTAGTTACAACTAAGTAATTATCACTATAGAACTTTGCATACACTTCACTAGAATTAGCGTTGATTGGTAGAGTGGCCGTATATAAAAATTCACTAGCAAGATCTCGATCGTCGTGCACGGTTTTTCTGGATCCTTCAATAGTAACATATCTTCCCTTAACTTCAACTGTTATTTCATCCACATTGTATTGATCAGCCTTAATTATTATATTCGTATATTTATCGCCAATTTCAATTTTTGGTCCAATATCAACGAGACTCGGGAACAGTTCAATAATTGGTTTGAATATACTGAACAAAGGGTACGAGCTTTCTTTTTTTTCCTCTACTATTGATGGTCTCTCGGCCGGAAATGCATTGACTGCAGTGAAAAGCGCTAAAGCGATTATATAATTTCTTATGGACATTTTGCGACGACCGTTTTTAAAATATTAGCTAAAAAACTGGCGGCCGCGTGATTGCAGAATGTTATATATCAAGAGAGGTATCAAAAACCGGCTTAGTGACTTCGCACATTGCGTCGCAGCAGATTTTTCGATAAAGTAGCATGGCTTTATATTTTTATCGGGTTTGTGTTATTCTCAGTTTATTTTCAGTCAGTGTATTGAACTTATAAAAGCGGTTGTTCCAAACTTTTTGTGTCAGGCCGTTACATATTGGTCATAACATATGGTACATGTAGTGGAGTATTTAAAGTGACTGAAAAATTGAGCTTTGATATTCATAAGATTTTTAATAACAAAAGATTACAATAATCGCTGACTGACTACCTGAATATTAGACATACTATTACTACTAGTACTAGTATTTAGAGAATTTGAGTTCCTTATGCAGTTTATTATTATGCACATTGTACTATAAAACATGGTTTAACTTTATACAAACGCTTATTACGCATTACATATTGTATACACTCAGCCAAAAATAATACAGCGTTATTTTCTGAGTTATGATCATAGGATATGATTGACACATTATTACGTGCAAGAATAACGTGATACGTATCAGGAAATATGAAAAATATAACGTATACAAAACCACTAATAAAACACAATATTATTCCAAAGGAAACACGTACTAACAATATTTTTCAGGGACAGTTGAATTAGTTTCTTAATTATGGGAAAATTCGTTAGTTAAAAATTTAAGATATACACATACGTACTCGTAAACTTAAATGCCTTTTTCCGATTACTTTGATAGTATTCGAATGTCGAAAATGCTATATGACTTTCTTGTAATATTATATTTATTCTGGAGTATCTGGTTATATTATATTCTGGAATATAAGGCTTTACGTCATAAAAGAACACGTAAATCTTAAAACGTTGGTATGCTGACCATGCCCCGTATAGGAGTATTTTTGTTTTGTTTACTAACCAATACTAACTTAGCAACTAAGACCGACTAAAACTACATATAAGATCTGAAAAAATGAAGTTATTATTATTATTGATTTAAAGTAAAATAATGAAAAAATAAAATGTAACTTCTAAGTGTAATATTATTACAGTGAAGTATCGCTATTCTAGAAACTGCTGCCAGCATTGGGGTACACAGGGGACAATATTTTATTTTATTTTATTTTATTATTATTACAGAATATTTAGTTTGAGTGTAATGCAAATACTTTCTATATATGTTTGTAGCTAGAAAATTAATTTATTTTAGATTGAAATAATTCACAGTTCTCAGTTCTTAAACAATGTCCCCCAACGAAATCAATTCAATAGTTCTAGTTCTATCTTCAGCCCACACAGCCCATTAAGATAATCGGCACACTTGTCATATTAGTTCGCTTCTTATGATTGGCCTGTTTTCCTTGAGTGGTATCATCAAGAAATCTAGAAAAATAACTTTTCTTTGTATTTACTTATATGCTCGAGGCATAATCTATATGGCTTATTAAATAGTTTAAAGATATGGCTATGTTGACTCTATGGCTTGGTTGGTAACGTACATAAACGGCACATCAACTCCCAGCAAAAAAATATCTTAGAAAAAATCATTCCATTCATAATATTTACATATATATGTAAATATAAATATTAAGTATAAATTTCATTTACATAATTATTGTATGTGAAAAACTTCAGTTTAATTTAGTTAAGTCCTTTTAAAACTTAGTTAAAATTTAAAGTTGAGATTTACAAATTAGAAAATCCAATACATACAGTAGTAATTTGATTTCTAAACAACTTGAATTTACGTCCAAGAAAATGTTGATTGTTTTGTAAAAAGAAACCAATTTTGCTGAAACCTAAAACCCAGTTTATTGTTTACTTTTTAACGTCACCGCAAGTAGCGAACAAATAATTGTTTAAGTTTTACACATATGGTTAGAAGTAGTTCATGTAAATTTTGTAAATTTCATACAACAATTTGATACTGAAGAAAACTATACGAGTATTATAAGTAATACTTCAAAGTCATTAAAAGTCAAATTGATTTATTGACACGTGCGATAAAATTGTGCAAAATTATAAATAAAGAGAATTTTAATAATGTAAAGACAAAGGTCAATATTTACTTTTTTATTCAATGTTTTTTATTTTTTTTACATTTAGAACATAATTAAAGTTTTCAATCGGGATGAGTGTATTGTTTTACGTTATTTTTTGTAATTTTTTTTAATAAAATGATTTGTTTTGTTTATAGACATTTTATTTTAACACATCAGCCTAAAGCTATTTATTTACACATTTCTTATTATTATACATTCGATGCATGCCTGGAAAAGTTAGTGATTGATAACATTCAAGTTTATATCTTACTAGCTGACCGGGCAAACGTCGTTTTGCCATTTATATCATTTATAATAAAAAAATTGGGGTTGATTGTAGAGGGGTGAAAATTAGGGGTTGTATGTATTTTTTAATGCTGTATCATAAAAAAATAAAGAATTAATTTTTTATCTAACATTTAAAAAAAAATTTAGGGGTGAACTACCCTTAACATTTAGGGGGATGAAAAATAGATGTTGTCCGATTCTCAGATATACCCAATATGCACACAAAATTTCATGAGAATCGGTCAAGCCGTTTCGGAGGAGTTTAACTACAAACACCGCGACACAAGAATTTTATATATTAGATTATGTAACGTAAGTTTTAATAAATACTTTTATATTCGCACACATGTGTACCACATCTTCAACAGTTCACCGGTAAAGTGTGTCAGATCTTTGTAAATACATCGGTTACTGACAGTGACTGTTGAAAACACGGCTTTCACTGAGATAACAATGCACATTTTCCGGTTGAAATTTTCTTTAAACAATATTTTAAAATTTGCATGTGAATATTCTTCAATAAATACTTATATATATTTAACTAAAATAAACCGATGTACTAAAAGCCGTTGGTTTCGGCAAGTAGGTGATCAACCATGTGTGCCTGACACGAGTTTTGTTTTTCTGCACCGTACGAGCGGTCGTTAAATGCGTTTATAGAAAGAAAAGTCTTTTACCGCCGTGATTCAAACGCAAGACCTCAGGGTTGACGGGCGCATACTCAAGCCACTAGGCCGGCACTGCAGCAGACATATGCCTTTGACCTAACAGCGAATCCTCGGACAGTCGGTCATGTCCTAACAACCAACTAAAACTAATTATAATACCAGGAATCTAATACCCCTCACGGTCTTTTTACGAAACCATTAGGGCTATTTATGCTCAATAGTAATTTTTATACAAACCGGAAACCATCTATTTCCTTGTTTCCCGGTATTTAAAAGACTGTTGGAATAACAATAAATATAATTTCCATTAAATCTGTATCTGTAGTAATCCTTTAAAGAAAAAACTTTTTAACCGGATTAAAGTTATGTATTATTATAAATTTACAATTATTTAACATAATTTTAAATTTAAAGTGTCACCGTGACCACGCACGCTGTAAAGCACGCGAAACCTCGGTTAAATTTAAAATTATGTTAAATAATTGTAAATTTATAATAATACATAACTTTAATCCGGTTAAAAAGTTTTTTCTTTAAATGTGTAAAGGTTATGTCAATAAAAGACAATACTATGTAGTGATCCTGTTATTGAAGTTGAATAAAACATTATATAATCATCAAGCTAAATTTAAAAAGACCTGTGGTACAACCTTTTAGACTTGGGCTTCAGATTTCTTTAACAGTTTCGTTTTTCTAATAGGGATTCGTCGACTAGTCGACTTTTCGTCGGCCGCTTCCGTCATGTTTTCCTTCACCGTACGAGTCTAAGCTAAATAACTTACAATAATATTAAAACAAATTCGGAGTTGCCAATACCCAATATAGCTAACAACTTAATTAAATTCATAGCACGAAAAATACGTCATTCTACACAAAGGCAAACAAACGAGCCTCATTTGTCTAGAGAATTCAAACTTTAATATTCGTTTTTAATTATATTGGTAAATTTTAAATTTGCAAGAGCAGTGATTGCCTAGTGGCTTCAGCGTGCTACTCTCATCCCTGAGGTCGTAGGTTCGATTCCCGGCTGTGCACCAATGGACTTTCTTTCTATGTGCGCATTTAACATTCGCTCGAACGGTAAAGGAAAACATTGTGAGGAAACCGGCTTACCTTAGACCAAAAATGTCGACGGCGTGCGTTAGGCACCAGAGGCTGATCACCTGCTTGCCTATTAACAAATGATCATGAAACAGATACAGAAATCTGAGGCCCAGACCTAAAAAAGGTTGTAGCGCCTGTGATTTATTTTAAATTTATTAAATTATGCCAAAAGTTTCTTCATAATGATTTAGTTTCGTTATCAAAGGGATAGAATGCCCTTTAACTTTTAAGCCAAACCCTATTTACATGAAATCATCATAAAACTATAAAAAAGGTTTAGCGATAACATTAACTAATGAAATACTGATTACAAAAAATCATTTATTAAAATACTGCTTTTAAATACATTCTTATTCTAAATATCACTTAGGGCTGCACTTCATTGGCAGCACTATTATCCAATTCATTTGAGGTCGGGCTCGCTGTTGTCGGTTCACGGTCGGCTTCGGTAACATCTTTTTTATCATCTACAGCAGTTGTTACCCCAGTTTTCTCAGTATTGTACGCCACATTGGTTTCCGTAATTGGCACTATGAGTTTTTCAACCTTTTCTTCGCTCGGCCCGTTCAATTGAACCAAAACTTCCAGTACTGAATCAGTATACAATTTTGCGGTGATGTCTTGGGCACTTGAGTTCACGGGTAGGGAGTATGTGTACAAGAAATGGCGAGCGAGCAGGTCATGGTCATCCTTCTTCACTTCATGGGTGCCTTGGATGATGATGAAGTCGTTTTTCACTTCAACTTTAAGATCTTCAGGTTTATAGCTGTCGACGTTCACGATAATCTTGAAGTTTTTGTCATCAACTTCGATCTTAGGGCCGAAGTCCGCAATGTTCGGGAAGAGGTCCCATATCGGCGAAAAGAAGTTCATGAACGGGAATTTGGGGAATGTAAACCATGGCGCACTGTCTTCGAATTCCTCAGGTATAGCTGGGTGCGTCGGCTTGTCGCTGGATGGGAAAGCAGTTGCCGTAGCGCACAGCGCGAATATCGCGAACAATCGCGGTGAAATCATTGTTAGCGTGTGTCACTCACAGGTAAGGTATAAACACTGTTTGCGGCGTATGAGCCGTGGGCTTTATAGAAGTGGTGGGGGGTACCGAGGCAAGCGCATCGCTGCACCGGCCGCTATAACGTGCATCAAAGTATAATAATAATAGATACGTTATTTGCCTGTAAGTAGAGAATAACACAAAAAATATATAATATTTATACACCATTTGAATTAGTGAATTAGTGCACATTAGTCTTAAGTGCTAAGCAGTTGTAAGTGAACATAAGAGTATCTTCCCCTTAAAAGATACTGTATTTAGTGTTTGTTATTGGACACTTTGTAATATTAAACATCCTTAGTATAGACTTAAATACTTATCAGTTTTAGGTTAAGCTAGATCGTAATGTTCCATGATATCTCAGTGAAGACACAGGTATAAAAAAATATTTAATCAATCAGATTGATAAAAATGTACCCATGATAAAAGCAATCTTTGAGAGGAAATTAGACAAATTTGTTTCTCTTCCAACATCGCGGTAATCGGATCTGGTGTTTTTATAAATTTTCATTTCCGTATAACTTGTTTACAACGTGGATATTTTTTCTTTTGTAACTCATTAAGACTGACTCATAAAGTTCTCATTAATTCAGCAGTTTTTACGATTAGTAAACTTAAATTAGTTTACTTATATTAATTAAAATATGGCTTGATTTATAGTAAAATTTTACTTCTGGAAGGAATTAAGTTCGGTGACGGATGTTGTTTGGAGATGTTTTTGGTGCTATGTGTTCGACGATGGCTAACATTTGGTTAGCCCTTCTAATTATTTACTAAAATATTTATGTAACTTAGCTAATGTAAGGTTACGTAACTCAGGCATCGCAGAAAAAAGACTTAAATGAATAAATTTAACACAAATTATTAATTTTTTGTAATATATCTTTGTAACATCTGTTCTATTTTCTAATATTTGACCGTGGCCTTGTAAGGTTGTTCTAGAGCCGTCCACAGCTCGTTTACCTAAACAATACGTGGTTCTTGGACCAACGTGACTTCACGACATCTGACTCAGCTCATATTATCATGTTTTTCATTTTTCTTTAATTTTTAAAATTTTAATTACGATTTTAATAACTCGGTTATTATAATTATTATTACTGTTTTGTAAAAAAATGTATACAGTTCTGTGTAATATTCGCACCGTCGTCATGGTAACGGAATTATACTTTAAATCTGTTGTGTACTCGTACTAGCAACTAGTATTATATTTAAAAGTGAGTTGGGTGATTTTAGCCAACTGCAAGGTCAATATGACGCAGTTTAATATAGACTACTGAGCTACTATATGGTATAATATAATACTTGATGCGTTGGGCTCATCTGATGTTAAATAAGCCCGCTGCCTATGGGCAGAAGTCTCGCGAGTGCGTTGCCTGCCTTTACCAGCTATTATGAGAACACATAAAAATCAATTGAAATGATTCATACAATATTTTCACACTAACTTTACCCCTGAATATTAGTAATAAAATATAATAGCGTCTTATGACTCAATGGTTCGAGCAAAGGAAATCAAGTTACGAGGAAAATTACGGCGCATTTACTTAATGGGTCTATTGGCGAGAATAATCTTTCTTTGTCATTAACTTCACTAACAGTTTCTTATTGAAACTTTGTTTCTGAATATTTTCATAGTAAATATTTACACTAGTTTTATTGTCTTTATATAGAATTACTAAACGAGGACCCATGGTCATTCCAATGGCAGATATAGACAACAACTCAACAACAAAGGAGTCCAAAATATTTTCCAAATAATATTGTATTTTTTTCAGTTATTTTTAATACACAAAAAAATATCGAAAAATTCTTTGCGAAAATACAATTTAGATAATGTACATTACACATTACATATTTATAATTGAATGAACAACAATAGATATTTAGAACACGTAATCGAAAACCCAACCTCAGAGGATGCGGGCGAGTTGCCCCACTCTGCCGTTGAGATTCACCCGTCCCACCATGGGTAGTATTCTGTTACAGGCCATTTAAAATTTTGATATGATACTGCCTGCCTGACTGGAGTAAAGAAATATAAGATATATCTCTATATATATATAAAATTCTCGTGTCAGAATGTTCGTTCCCATACTCCTCCGAAACGGCTCGACTGATTCTTATGAAACTTTTTATGTATATTCAGTAAGTCTGAGAATCGGCTACTATCTTTCAAACCCCGAAGTGATAAAGTGTCCACAGCAAATGTTTTATGATACAGCATAAAAATTACATACAACCCTTAATTTTCACCCTCAACGATCAACCCCCAATTTTTTACTATAGTACAGAGTTATTTTAATGAACTAAAAAAATGTTTTATTTAATATAGTAATGTTTGTATAAAGTACTGTAGGTAAAAGTAAAACTAGCAAACAGATATCAAACAGTTCTTAACTAAGTTTATTTAATTGATGTCTTTTCGAACTTAAACGAAAATAACTATAAAAACATGCAGACTAGACTAGACACACATTTCCCTAACGAGAATGGCTTGCAATTTTCCTTATCGTATTGCGCTTTCAAAAAGAAAACGACACTTTCTTACAGTTTACTCATATCTTATCACTGACTTGCTTCATATTACAAGACCGACTAATGCACTGCGATGATTAAATGTTTTGAAGAAATATACAAAATAATTTTATTTAAAAAATAAATCATGCATATTTTTTATTGTCATAATAATAAATTGTGTCACAAAGACACAATTTAACATTACGACTAACTTAAGATAAGAAACTACTTAGCATAAGAAAGTGCCCAATAACTAAGTCTCTATTAAGGGTAAGACACTCTCTTTGTGTACTATTTTTATAAAATCTATTATTTTTGTAAATCATACAGAAAAAAATTTTAGGCCGAGAGAAAAAGCCGGAGAAAAAACTCTCGGTACTCTTTTAAAATAGCAAATCATCAAACAACACTTATTTTAAAACATCGCAAATTAATTAGAAATAGCCTGTCTAGCACTAGACCAGGCCCTTTTATCAACTAGATAATCGTTAACTTTATAGTAAGCCTTTTTACACAGCTCTTAAAATACTAAAATAAACTTAAAAAGTCCCAGTGGCAGAGTACCTTTGCTGCTAACAGCATTTCCTCATTATTTGATTATTCCCAGAGAGAAGAAAGCACCAGCACCACCGATACAATCTACCAGGCGCCGACTCAATAATTTAATTAATTATGTTTCTGTCATTATTTATTAGTTAAGTGATTATTTTAAATTGATAAATTGATAGATCCCAGAAACCAATATTCGTTATTTAAATTGACGTTTGGACTCACGTTATAATGAATATAATACGTGGATAAAAAGAACTTCTAGCGTTTTTATACAATCAATTATTTTAACATTACTTACAATAGTTTTTCAGAAAAAATAATATTTCACCCCTAAAAGGCCCAAACGTAAGACAAAGAAAATCAGTCTTCCAAAATTAAATTAAAAAATTTAAATAATCATCTACGTTGCGCTATTAATTACGTACAATTGGATTTCAACTTCCTTCTTCCTTCGTTAAATTTATTAAATATTTTCCTATTTCATCCGTAGCTAAACAACCGCTTACATAACACAATAAGAATGCGAAGTAATAAAAAGAGATATCTATCTTTACGACCCTTTCATTCATATTTATAACATAATATATAATATCTGCATACTTTGTTCTAAAAGTCATAGAGTATACAGTATAATCTGCACACGGTGTGCAGTTTGATCTAGTTTGATGTGATTGAAATCGGTTTAGTAGTTTAGGAGTCTATAGCGGACAAACGACGTGACGCGTAATTTATATAAATTAAGATAATAACTTATCAATATACTTCTTTGGTAACGTGAATCATATCTACACTAAGAACATTTACCTAATGACATTTTAACAACCGCTGTTTTAAAGATATATATACGTAATTCTAAATCATAAGAAAAATTTAATGTTCAATCGATCTAAGCAACAAACGCAATATCTAAATTAAGAATCATATTTCTTTTAAATTCGTGTACCTATATCAAATGTGTTTGCTTTTTGCGTTGCTTGAAGATTTTGCTATATATTTATATTTGTATGACACGACATTGTATAAATGTAATATTTAATAATAAAAAATCAGAACTAGGGTCTTAAGGGTTATAGGGACTAATAGAGTACCTCGACCCTAGAATGCCGGAGACCAAAGTTGATGACGAAGAATTGAAGGCTGTTGAAAGGAAGGATGCGGATCCATCGCAAACTGTCTGAGTTAGCTGCAGACTGCGGTGTTAATGATAAAACTGTATTAACCCACTTGAAGCAAATTGGGAAGATGAAAAAGCTAGACAGGTGGGTACCTCACGAATTGAGTGAAGAAAATCGACAAACGCGCGTCGACTGCTGCGTAAAGCTGGGTCCACATTTGTAGCATTTCGTATCATGATCGTTAGTTTGGACCCAAAATGATACCCGTTAATGATACATGCCGTATCTGATACGGCCTGATCCGCACTAAGCGCGTATCTTTATACACCTCGTATCAGATACGCGTATCACGATCGGTGGTATGGACGTATTTTGATACTGTATCACGATACTGTATCGCGATACGATACTTGATACACCGCGAACCATCCTGTGTCGGTTTTTTCGCGATCATCAAAGGGAATACACAACATCAATGGGTGACATGCGAGTGAAATTTTTGTATTTTCCACTGGTATGCTGAAATTTTAAAACTCGCAAAATGAGCTAAAAATCTCACTCTCGAAATGGTATTCCACCATGTTTGTTTCGGTTTCTAAACACTTCAAGGTCCCACCAGCGCCGTCTATGTCTGGATTTAACTTTTTTTTTAATACTATTAATGATAATATAACAGGCGCTAGTCACCGCCAAAGTGTGAGCAATTGCTGACATGGCTAAACCGTTTGGGAACGAAGACAATATGACTGAACCGTACGAGAAGGGAAAGGTACACT